ATAACGCAAGTACCACACCACTCCTCCACTTATGGTATTCAGTTCAGTGTGTTTTAACACGTTCACGTCACTGTGCAGTCATCACCGCAGTCAGCTTAAGAACATTTTCAGGATCACAGGAGGAAATCTATACCTCACCCTGCCACACCCCAAAGAAAGGAAGGGAAAAAATAAACAAAGTTTTGCTTATTAATGGAAACAGTAGGATGAGAGACTCATGTTCACATAGCTTTACAAACTAGATGTCATGGCTCCATTGGGTGGATTGGACAATAACAACCATAACAATCTCAACATTAGCTTTTATCCAGGGCCATACTAACATTTGGTTGCATTGTGCCTAAGTTAAGTGCTTTCAATACATTTTACTGAATCCCGCGCCATATCTATGGACTGGCTATAGTCATTATTGCAGTTTACACAAAAAAAAGAAATAGACACAGAAAAGCAAATTTCCCGATAATAATACCAATTGTTAAGTCATGGCATTGAGTCATAGGAGAAGGATTGTGAGGCAGACTTTTGCATGGTATTGTCCCTTCAAACTCCATGATTAATATTTTTGTTCACTTGTTAAAAGTATTTCAAACCCTAAGGCTAAGAAGCAAACCAGCCTAACATACAAGTAACTCCTTTCTTAGAAGCCATTGTGGGACCAGCAGTTAGCATAATGGCTATGTCACTGGACTCCCACATAGTTGACTGTGGTTTGAGTCCCAGACCCGGTGGCTTAAATTCACACCGGGCGTGTGTGCGTGCGTGCCCAAGATCCCAATAGGAGAATGGAGGAGAAGGGATTGCGGTGTGGCCATCCCCCCAGGGGGTGATTTCTCGCTTTCTCTCTCTGTCTCTCCCTGTCTGGCGAGCACACGAACTGTATAGCAAAAACCTCTCCAAAAAATGAAAAAAAAAAAAGAAAGATATACAGTGATTAAATATTTTTTACAAAAGGAAGCCATTATGAAGATTCCTTGTGTAGGGAGTGGGTTTACATGGCCTTTAATTCATTAAGCAAATACTTGGTGCTTACGATGTTCTGGGCTCTGTTCTAGGAACTATAGCAATGAACAAGTCAGACGAATCTCTGTCTTCATATAGCTTGTACACTAGTTGAAAGACACAGACAACAAGCAACTAATACATATATGAGCATGCTGTTTTAGATGAGGTGTTCAGAGAGGGCATCTAGAAGGACGTGGCATCGAAGCTGAACCTGATGGATGGAGAGGGGAAGAGCTTTTCTGACACAGGAAGGAACAATTTAGAAGGCCCTGCTTGCCAACCTTTTGGGGTGCTCTGGTGAAGAGAGAAGGATATTGTAGCTGGTGGTGGGTTCCATAGGAGGCAGGGCCTGGGCCACACAGGACCTCATAGATCATACTAAGGAACTGACTATTTTGTTCTTAGAGAAATAACAGATTTTAAGCAAAGGGCTACTTGATTAATAAGGTTGAAAGATCTCTCTGGTTGCTATATGAGCAGAGGAGAAAACTAGCAATAAAAAGTGCTCAGAACCAGCAGATGGCATGATTGTGTCACTGGACTCCCACGTGGTCAACAGCAGATTGAATCCTGGACCCGGTAGCCTGAAACTCATGCATGCCTAAGATCCTGAGAGGAGTATGGAGAAGAAGGTTTTGCAGTGTGGCCACACCCCTGAAGAGTGATTTTCACTTTCTGTGTCTCTGTCTCTCTGACGAATGCCCATGCCCTACATATATTAAAAATAAAATAAAAAAATAAAAAAACAATTCTCTCTCTCTAAAAAAAAAAAGAAAGAAAGAAAAAGAAAAAAAGAAAAAGAAAAGAAAAGAAAAAAGATACAGGGCTCTCTCAGATGGCCCAGAGAAACTGATGAGAAGTGGTGAGATTTGAGTTATATTTCGAAGACTGAGTCAGCAGGACTTATGACTGGGTTTATTTATGTGGGGTAGTGGTGAGAGATGGGTCAAGGATGATTCTGGGCTTTGGCGTGAGCTTCTGGGTGAAGCCACATGCTATATAACCCAACAAGGAAAAAAGGGGAGACAGAAATTTGGATGATGAAATCAGAGCAAATGAAGAGTTCTGTGTGGAACAGGCTGTGTGAGATGCCTTGAGATAGCCAGGAGTCACTGGGCTCCCTGATTTGGAGTGGGAGGTAGTCCCCAAGCATTTCAATCATTCCTCCTTCTGATGCACCCTCAAGTTTGAGAACCAACGGTCCTCAGACTGGTGGTAAACCTAAGAAATATTGGGGGAGGAATAATAGTTGTATTATATTTGTATGCACACACATCCATGTGTGTAGAATGTTTGGAAACTATTGAAACCATTAACCAAGTGTGATACATCGGCAATACGTGATTAATCACCCATTTTTCTTTGGTACTGATAATCTAAGTAGAAATATAGCTATCATGTATGTTTTCAATGATTTTGCACTAAATTTATCCTGGGTTTAAAAAAAATGATTCAACTTTTGGTTCTTATGAAAACTTTTAGTACTTGGAGGACATTTTGTTATTTGAACTCTTTTATCTTTGAGGTTGATACTTGGAGACCTTGCTGGGGTGTGTTGTGATTCCCCACATCGCGTGGGGTGTGGGGGGGGAACACATTCCAAGAATGAGCAATCAGAAACTTTGAAGCCACACCAGCTACATGATGGCAGAAGATTTCCGAATAGTTCCCTAGACTTAGTCATCCACTCTTCTCACTTTTTAAATGCACATCCTCTTTATTAAGTCTGATACAGATCTGACTTTCTATTTATGTATGTTCCCAGTGGAGTTCAACACAGTCATTAAGATCTAAGGAACTGTTAATCATGTTTACATTTAAAAAGTACCTAAAAGTAGCATAGTCATGAGCGTGCCAGAGGTTCGCGTTCCAGGGTCTCATACATTAAAATCGGATCCCTTTGACCCTTTGTCATATACGAATGGCCAGTTAGAGTATGGTCATTGTGCACATCGGTGGGTTATAAATCTGAAGACTATAAAGAAAAAGGGATGGATGATGACTCAGTGTGGAAAAATCTATAAGCCAGAACCCACTTACTTATTATGTCTGGATACATTTCTCCAGTTGAACTGTCCTTGGCTTAAGCTCTGCTTCCTCTTTTTATTCCAATTTCTTAGCCACTTTTGCTCTCTGCTGTCAAAAGCAACTTCCATCTACTCAGGCTAGAACATCTGATCTGTCTTATTCCCAATATACTATTCTCTGCAAGGATCCTTGTGCTGCCCATGTTTCTACACTGTGTTTCCTTAGCAGCTCTGGTCATCTTTACTTTTTTGGTGAGGATGCTTTCCCCCAGACTCAAAAGAGGTGCTCCTCTTGCATAGAGGCTTATGATTACCCTGACTGCCTCATTGGCTCCTGTTCTCCCACCCCTATCAAATGTTGCTAGATGACAATGTTTGCAGAGCCTGGACCATGTAAAAGCCTGACATAGCAAGATGTAGGTAGGCTCTTTATGTCAACAGATGTCCAAACACCTTCTGGAAAAAATCAGTCTTCTCTCCTCTGTGCAGCTCATCAGCTATGTACTCTGTTCTCTTCTCTGTAAAATGGAGACAATTCCAGCCCACCTTTGATATTTGAATGATATGAATGAAAACTGGTAAAGCACTTAGAAGAATATCTGGTACATAAAAGGAACTCAATCAACTGTAATTCTCTTCCAAACCCCTCTGAGTCTTTCATTCATCAGGAAATTATAAACATGCACTCTGAAACACACCTGGTTGTGAGTGACTGCTAGTGAGGACAAAGCTTCAGAAGCAAGCTAGACTAA